CCCCCCCCCCCCCTCCCTTTCACATGGCCGACCTGCTACACCGGCTGCCCCTGCTACTCCTCGTCTTTTTTGCTTGTCATCGTTGTCGTCTTCCAAGTCTGTTTTCTCGGGCGGCTCCCTGTTCCCACCAGGAAGGAGAGATCTTCGAGGAAAGGTCAGAGGATGGATCGACGACTGACCAACGGCAGGGCCACTGGCACGTCAGGAGGGGCGAGCAATCGCCGAAGCAGTGCAGGGTGTGTGGCGAAGCAAGCGTACGACCCGACGTTGTATGCTCACCTGCCTTCGCATGAGATTCCTCTACCGCCGTCAGATGACAAGGGAGAAGAGTTGAGGTCGACGACTGTGCCGTTGGGAAGTGGCTCCACGCAGCATTGGGCGGCAACGCAGTCGTACGGTGCCAGGCGAGCGGAGGCGACCTGGTCTTACACGTCACTGCTAAACGACGGCCTGTGCGAAGATGAAGGTAATGCACTGGTCGATCTCAGCTTCCAGTTGTCGAGCAGCAGCGGAGCAGCGGCGACACACACTCGAATTGTCGATCCGTACCCAGATGGAGGTTGGGCGGAGCAGTCGTCGGCAGCTCCCTGCGGGCATGGAGACGACGGCCTCTCGCAAGCATCCGGGGGCGGCGGGAATAGAAATGTGGCGTCGACGCAGGGCGGAGGATGAGGCGATGTTCGCTAGCGTCCGGATTGGATGCGATTGTCACCTGCCTCACGAAGCGGTCCAGGGACTCCACCCGGACGACAACGAGAGGACGACGGTTCCACGTCGGGTGCGCAAGTGGAGCGGCACGGTAGGCAATCGTGGGCAGATGCGAGGCAGGCGTTGCGTCAAGCAGGAGCGGACACCATAACGAGAGGGGTGCAAGAGCTCCACGTGGACGAAGGCGGCGAAGCAGCTGCTGAGGAACCATTCAACTGCGACGACGTTGATGATGAAAAAGACTGCAACTCCGACGAATTGCCTGATGTTCGTCCACTTGGGAGGAAGGCCAGGGGCGGCGGTGCGAGTGCGAAGAAAGGTTCCCCTACGTCAAATCGGAGGAATAAGAGGAGGGACGACGACACTGGCGGGAGCGATGGCGAGGGCGGTCGCAATTTCTGGTCGGTAGGAGACACGGTCACACTCGTCCGGGCGAAAAGGGATCAAGACCTATATTTTGCGGGCATGGGCCACAATTTCGGGTGCATGAAGACTAGGGAATGGAGGTGGGAGGACGTCCGACAGAGGTTGGTAAAGTTGGGGGTCCAGCGGAAGGCCGTCGCCTGCGACAAGAAGTGGGACAACTTGATGCAGCAGTTCAAGAAGGTTCACAAGTACCAAAACCTCTCCGGCGGGAAGGACTATTTCAAGCTTGCTTCTTCGGCGAGGAGATCGGAGGGTTTCAGCTTCGTCATGGACCGGAGCGTTTTCGACGAGATGGAGGCGATGACGAAGGGGGATCACACTATCCACCCGAAAAATTTTGCAGACACGGGGGCGCCGGGGGGGGTGCAGATGCCGGCAGGAGCGGGGCTGAGGGGGATGACATCAGCAGTGAGGGGGGAGGGGAGCCCGTCGACGAAGACCAGGGATCGACGAAAGATTCTAGATTCAGTGCCGGGAGCGGCACCGCAACGAGGAAGAGGAAGAATATGAGACAACAATCGTTGAAGTAGTCATCGACGTGATGAAGGAGCATGGAACGCTTATGGCGACGACGATGGACAATGCGAGCAAGCGACAATGCTCCATGAAGTTACGACAGTGCCAGGTCCTTGAGAGCGAACTGGAGCTTATGCTGCAGAGGGGACCTTATGCTGCAGCCGATGCGGCGAACACGATGATGTGTAACGCCCTTCTGGAAATAGCGAAAGCAATCCACGATAGATCGTGAGGAGTGTGGTGTCTAGCTAGACGTCCCCCGTCTAGTTTCTATCGTCATGCGTGCGTGTGTGTGTATGAC